GATTATCTCAATAAATGAATATTGGAAATTAGGTTTATTTTTTATTAAATTTAAGTATATTCTATTTTCTTCGCTCACATTCTATGTGCTCATGGTAACAAAGAAATTCATAATAAATAGAAACAGAAAGTTTCATCGTGTGCAATTTAACAAAGAGCTTACTTTAACATACTTAGCTTACCATTGTATACTATATTATTTCAATTATTTATGTACAGTAACAAAAAGGTTATTGATTATAAAAAGTGCATGAAATAATAATTGTAATCTACCACTATTCTAAAATGTAGAAACTATAAATAAGTAAATACATTAGCGTATGATCAAAAGAAATTGTTTTAAGAATCATCAACATTACTAGTAAATACTGCAATCCATAATTATTGCACTTTTAATTGCTTACTATTTAAAAAACACAAATATTTTTTTTATTAATTGGAAATTTTAATTCTGTTACCTTCCTTCTGCTATTTATACTTTCAAACAATACTAGTTCATGTTTTTTCTTAAATAGTGCTGTCATGTATGTTGTTTGTTAGGTTATTATTTCATTTTGGATATGAATATGGGAAGTTATTCGATTTAGTTATATTTTTGATCACATTTATTAACTACTTTATGTCTTTCATTTGCATATCTTGGAGATATAGAAGTTAATGGTTATATTTTTTACTGTGAAATGCTAATAAATTTATTTATACTTGAGTTAAAGTAAAATACTAATTATGTTACCTTAAGAACCGCTTCCTAATTTATCGTGACGGGCAATTTTCAATGTCTCTGAGATTTAACAGGAATAAATGTGATAATGCTGTTATCAGAAACACTCTTTATTTTTACCCACATAAATCTTTACTTTTATTTATTTCTAAATGAGTTTTATTTATTTAAAACTTACTATTAATGTTATATATTTATAATAACCACTTTCATAATTACTCTCATTTACATACTAGAGGATTAAGGAAAAAAGGATGAAATCTTAAATAATCGTAACTTAGAATTTAAGTTATTTAAAAAATATAGTTTAATGTACTGAAAATGATTAAGACTATTATTAATTATGCATATTTAGTCTAAAGAGAAAAAATTGTATTATCTTCTGGTTTTAAAGAAATGATAAAATATTTAAACTTTAGAAAAATACAAGGAATACAAAAATTTGAAAATTAGAAAAATATATTAATTATTAAGCTTATTTTTCTGCATAAATCAATATGTAACACAAGGACATAATAACGACATTTTCACAACTGTTGCAAAAAGGTGGAATTTTGCGAAGATTTAGGCGTCTTTAAGACGTCGTGATACAATGCTTTCACAACCAAAATATCACCTGCGAAAGACGCAATGACGGCGTCTATGTGACAAAAACCTCATCTGCAAAGAAGTAATAAAAGACGTCTTTGCAACGGTTGCAAAACAGTGGATGTTCACGGACATCTGGTTGTCTTAAAGACGACATATTGCAACGTTTTTGCAATGACATCCGTGACGAGTTTGCAACGCCATTGCGACGTTGCTGTGCTCCCTTGGGTAGACCTAGTTCTGTTTTTACCTTGTATCTACTACTGCAGGGGTGGCTAAAGTGCGGCTCGAGAGCCTGATACGACTCTCATAGGCAATTTGTGCTGCTCTTTATGCATATAAAATATATGTATGAAATATGGTAAACTAAAACTATTCAGTATCCAAAAGGAAGTAATTAATTAGTTTAGACTCTTTTTACAAAGTTATCAGGGATTTCTTTCTATTTGAAACCTTTTTCACTCCTTCTATAATGATGTAAATATGAACTTGTGGCTTTTAGAAAATCTAGATGCTGCTCTCGAGCATTCCTGAATTCAAACGTGCGGCTCTTACTGACACGAAGTTTGGCCAGCCCTGTGCTACTGTATTTTCCCTTGTGGTTTCTGATAATGCAAGTGGTAGTGCATCCAGCTAGTAATTGAAAGATCTGTGGCTCAAATCTTGACCTTTTAAGTAGATGAGAATATTAGGAATTATCAGATTTACCTGTGCATGCAGTCACAGTTCAAACACCTAATGGATTCTATATATTAGATAATAGACATTCAGGACAGCTTTTGTAATTGAATGTTTTTAATTGAAAGGTGCCTTTCTTTTGCAATAGGTAAATTAGTAGTATCACTGAATTATAAAACTTATAAATTTTCTGTAACATTGGTGACATGATTTCTCAGTTATAAAAAAATACACTATGGGACAGCGAAAATACAACTCCATGAACACGTGCAGAAAGTGATGTTTATTGCAACATGATACACTTTTAAAAAGAGTGATACACTTATAAAAGACGTCAGTATGTTGCAGGACCACTGTTGGTGGCATTACAAGCAGCAATACCTCTAGGTACAGACACAAAGGGCATATTGATGACTAAATCTATTTAAAAAATCTTGTACACAAAGGGCGCATTGATGACTAAATCTATTTAAAAAATCTTGTCTGTCAGAAAATAAGTCTCCCTTCTCTGGTAAGGAAGGTTAGCTTAGAAAAAATTTCATTGTTAAATGCAGGAAATGAACCTCTGAGAATAAGATAATATCATATGCTTATACAGTTATTAGCTGTGAAATTTTGGAAGCATATAAATGGGAAAAATTGTAGCTGTACTTTTAAAGGAATGAGATAACTTAAGTCTGTTAGAATTGTGATTAAACTATATTATTCAGGAAGCTTGTAATTAGTTTGAGAATGAATTGTTTTCCCTGAATTCTGCCACTCGGTGCAGTGATATGAACTCTGTCGCCGTTTCTGGGTTTATGTTAAAACTAAATCATTTATACTTAATTCAAATAGGACTAAATGTGCCTATGAGTATCATTAACAAAATCAGTTTTTAGTATATTAAAAAAAATGTTTGTTAAATTTTTTTCTCATCAACATTTCTTAGTGCATTTAACTTAAATCTGTAATTACCACCATGCGTAATGACAACATAAAATGTTACCATACTCTTTAATATTAAATTGCTAATAAAATAATTGATTGGGCATCGCTGCATGAATTATTACTCAAGTTGTCATGTTTTGATAAACATGCAGTGATGAAAGCAAAATATAATAAATAATGATTCAGCAGTTTGGCATCAGGGGTATAAGTTATTAGTAGGTGTAAAATCATCGATGTTTCTATCTACAGTGCTTCGATTCAATTTTGCCAAGCAGATAGGCAGCTATAGAAGCAAATTCTCCACATATTTTTGGTTTTGACGTTTGGATTTTAGATCATTCAGGATATTAGACATCCAGATCTCAGACTTTGTACTGTATGATATTTTTGTTACAAAGTAATAAATTTTTTCTTTTATTGTATGCAATTGGTGAAATACATCAAGAAATTTTCCTGTATTCATGTTATAAATAATTGTTCACATTAACTATTCTCATAATCATAAGCTACTGTAAAATATTTATCGTGATAGACATTAATAAATCAGTATATGAAAATTCATTCATTTTAACAGGAGTAGTTCAAATTGAATCTTTTATAAATATGATAGGAAGTTTCAAAAAAAAATTTTTTTGTAATAATTCTCATATGTTGTTCTACTTTGATTCAATTACAGGAGGCAGCTGGTTTAAAATGCATAATTGTTTTGTTCACTTTTTCGTCATACTCATTTAAACAAAGATTTTAAATTTAAAGTTATTGTGAATTATCTGTTATTTGTACTGCTTGAACACAACTGCAGCATAAATATGCAAAACATCTGTTATTGGACTTGCTTGAACACAAATGCAGCTTTCTGCAGTAAGATGATTATAAGAATTTTATATTTTAAAAGGTTGGTTACCCATTTCTAATTTATGTTATATTTTTGCATACTGATTGGATAAATATGTATTTTTTGTAAAAGTACTGACATTGTTGATGATAAAAGTAATAAAGGTGTAGGGATCCTCACTTTTATCTATTAACTAAGTGTTGGGAAACCTAGTGAACAGCTAAGCAAATAATCCCTCAAGTTCAGGAATAGAAACATAAACTCAAGAAGGGTTAATTACCCTTTATTGTTCAAAATAAAAATTGACAGATGGCCCCTTTCTCAGGGCATACAATAAAGCCTCCACTTGAGCTTAAACTCAAAAATATAAGAAATAAAAACTAACTAAAGAGATTTAGCCGAAGCTAACACAATTTCTAAACTAGTTGGCCAATAATATTAAATTAGCTAGCGAAGCTATCAAGGACATGTAATACAACCAGACTTACTAACAGCTTAGAGAGACGTGACTAAAAGGCAAACTCACGCTATTCGGAAATTCTAATTGTCTCTGTTAGTGGAACTTCGACTTGAATACTCTATACTACTCATTTGCATTTAAGGCAATTTGAAAAGCTCATTCTGGTAAAAAATTGTAAGCTGAAGCTGGAAGAGATAGGAAAGGTGAATAAAACTAAAAATAACTTAAGATATACCTTACAAAGGTAATGAATACAATAAATAAGTACATGCAAACTGAGGTTTAGTATATGTGTGTTAGTTCTTATTCTTTCATAATTTTGTCTCAAGAATCAATCATTTGTGTGTTTCGAAAGCAATGCTGTTTAATTAGGCTGCATCACAAAATATCTTTGGAGATGTTTTTCTTTCTAAATTATGTCTTTCATTGATATGTCAGCTTTTTTTTAAAACTTCATGTTTTGCTAATGTGCAGATTTACTTTTGGAGAAAACCAAATAAACAGTAAATACAGCATGAAATTTAATGTGCTTTTCTTGAGCCACCGAAGGATTGATTTTTGGAATGAACCTATCGAACAGTTAATGAATGAAGATATGAGGAATCTTAATTTGCAGGGATTTATGTAATATGCATCTTAATTTGTAGGTACATCTTTTAATCTGAAAAATAGATCATCCTTAAATTTTGTTAAGGTGAATTTTAAGTAAACTCTTCTAAATTTAGATTATTAAATGCATGAAATCCATCGACAAACATGTTTTAACTTTTAAAACATCAATTTCTTTAGGCTCATGCTGTTTGTTACAAGAGTTTACAAAATGAGTGTAACTTTGGTTGTCTGGAGAGCATTATGCTGCCACCTAGTTCTGTGAGCATTCCGCGAACAGATGTCCCTTTAGAAACTATTATTGGCGTGGAAGTTAAAAAAAGAGATGCTTTATCTAGAATATGTATAAGTAAGATTTTGTTATGATAGTTCCATGTTGAACCTTTTGTAAATATTTTTAGTTTTATATGTAAATACACCCATAAACATATATTTAAACTTTGGTGTGTTTTTAAAATTCATTTTTACAGCACGAAGTATATCGGAAGAATTTTCTCCTGGTGAATGTAAAAACAAGGAATTTGATGATTATCCTTCGCCCAAAGAAAAAGATAAAGATGATGGTATGTGATGTTGCTACTGAGTATTTATATCTCATTTTAATTTTGATTAGAGCTAATTTATATATGTGTATATATTTTTCTGCATTGATGTCTGTATTGTTTTACATTGAATATATATATAATTATAAAAATTAATTAATTTCTAGGATTTTAGGTATGAAGTCCTTTTACCACTTCTATATTACAAATGGTTTCGAATTATATATAGCTATTTGTATGTATGTATATGTTTCTTATATGATGCATTGCAATCTTTAATTTCCATCTTTTTAGTGTTTAATTTCCATCTTTTTAGCATGTGTCTGCGAGCTGTTTCTGTTGCCATATTTTTTGGATTATACAGGGTGTTTCATAGATCATGGGTTAAACTTGGAGGGGTGGTGGAGCATACTAAAACATGTATTTTTTTATAGGAATGTAGGGTCTAATGCGATGGGTTAAGGCAGGAATGCAAAAAAAATGACACGAGAGGAAAATGTGTTAATGTACAAAATCAACGCAAAGTGCTTCTTTGTAGCAATACAATATTTACAAATAAGTGTTCAAAATTGTGACTGCCAGCAGTAATACATGTTTGGTAACATCGCACGTCGCAGAAGGGATTGACGAACATTTTGAAAAACGACGGGCATTTCGAGCTTGCTTGCAGCCGCAATTGATAGTCATGCAAGGAGGTCCTCCAGTGAGTCAACGGAAGTCTTGTAAATGATGCTGTTCAGTCATGTGGACGTGTGTCGTGTGGATTATGAGTTTCCCACAAGTGTATGTTGTGGCTAATGAAGATGCCGTCCTGTGAGAAAGTTGCCTCATCAGTGAATAGCACATCCAATGGAAAATCTGCCTGCACCATACACTGCTGCAAGAACCAATGACAGAAATAAACTCGAAGAGTTTCCACACAGAGACCGATGCAACCTCTCGAACATTGTGTGCTTCGGCATACACCGGTTCGGAAACCGTAGCGCTGCTCTGCTGTTCCCATTAGCAGCACCATACATAAGATGCATTCAGCTTTTCCCTGTGTGTAAACTCACCCGTCATGCTCGACATCAGAGTTGCGAATGATCCTCTGATGCATCGGATCGTGATTTGTCCGCCTCACTACCGTCCTCTACCGCTGCATTGCCAGCCAATCACAGCAGTAGTTCTGATTACTGTTAGTGTTCCCATTTTTGAACATTTATTGTGAATACTGTATTGTTACAAAGAAGCACTTTGAGGTGATTTTGTACATGAACACATTTCCTCTCATGTCATTTTTTTGCATTCCTGCTTTAACCCGTCACTTTAGACCCTACATTCCTATACAAAAAATGCATGTTTTAGTACGCTCTCCTGCCCCTCCAAGTTTGTCCATTGATCTATAAAACACCCTGTATATAGTTATTTTAGATTTCTTTTTGAAATTATTACATTATAGCTTTCTTACAAATTAATGAAATTTGAATAAAATGTCTAACCACAGTGTCTAGGCTGCCAGATTCTCTGCCATGTAGGTGCATGGCCACCATATGGCAGAGGAACAACAGCATCAACTCGATGTTTTTAGATTTTGGAACACAAGGTATCTTATTTTTTGTGCTTTAGTTTTTTTTTAGACTCTTCCTGAGTAGTATACCGTACTGCATATTCAGGACTGTGCAGATTTTTTTTTGGAAAAAAATATTTTTCCAGCATTTGGCTAGGGTGTACCATCAAATCTACGTTAACTCAAAGAACATGCCTGGAACCGCTATGACTACCCCATTTGGATTATTTGAGTTCTTTAAAAACCTTGTACGGTTTGCGAAACGCGGCCAAACGTTCCAACGATTTATTCATCAAGTACTTCCTGACTTAGACTTTTGTGCTTTTTACTTTGATGAGTTGCTTGTGGAACACGACCACCAGAGCCACCTCCATTTAGTTTTTGGTAGATTGCAAAAATACAGGTTAAAATTGAAGCTTTCTAAATGTATTCTGGGGAAGTTATTGTTATTGTTTCTTTGCTGGTTAATTACCCCTTCAAGCGTTCGGCTTCTTCCTGAAAAAATTGCTTCACAATATGCATATGTGATGTCCATACACATGTATTTCATTTTCTGTTGCTTCTTTGAACCGTCTGTGGTCATTTTCTGTGTGTTGTTTTTCAATATTATCTACAATTTTCTGTGTATTGAATTTATCGAATAAGAAAATTATGAATTTCTACACAGAGAATAGTGAATGTTTAAACCAGAGTTCTTTGTATATCTATAAATGAAACATTTTATGGATTATTTAACGCTTTATTTGCATAGCGCATTAAAATATGAAGAAGGGAAGAAGCATTCTGCTTATTTTGTTCAGTCATTCATTTTTTTTTAAACAAAATACCTCCCTACTTTTCTTAACATTCATGTATTTGTTTTTGCTTTAGAATTAGCAGTCTTTAAGAATTAGAAATGTCATGGTTTGGTTCTATTTGAACTGTCAAATTTCCTGCACAAATATTTTTTAAATGTTATTTGGCTTTCTATCTTTCCCCCTTTTCCTTTCCTGTTTTTGATATTTTTATTCTAAACTTACAAATTCTCTTCCTCTTGCCTCATTAGAAATTATAAAGGTCTATGATGGAAATGCTTCAATGAAAAGAAGAATGTTCAGGACAATCACAGTTTCCCGCAATGCAACTAGGGAGCAGATGGTTGTATGTATATTTTCATTGTTCTGTATGATATTATTTTTGAAAATAAGTAATCTGAGCACTTTATTCCTTTCAAATTGTTGTAAGTAATTAGCATAAGTGAATGTTATAAAAATTGCTAAGCATTCCACAGCCCCAAAATAATATAAAAAATCAAACCAAATAAAGCATAAATCTTAGTTACATAAAAGCAAAATTTGATGAATGTGTAGCTTGTGCAATGTAGTTTTTTTATCTACCGAGATTGAAAAGACAATAAAAGTGTACTGAAAGACTGGAATCATTGGAGCGTAAGTGTATTGAATGTAGGCAAGAAAGGAAATCATTATAGTATATCAATATTTTGTCACAATTTATTTGCAATAATGTTTGAATACTGATGGTAAACATTTATAATCTTCTGTGCAAGTTAATTGTTTAAATATGTTATTGAGCTTGCATGTGAGTCTTTAAAAGCATAAAAGCATCCTTTAAATCTTTAGTAAACTATGGGACTCCTTAAAGAGGGAGAAAGAAATGAAGCTTTTTGAAATTTTTATAAAAATCAACAATTTTTCATAATTTTAATTAACCCTTTTATGCATGCAATATTATTACTATAATGTTTTAACTAAAAAACTATAAAAGTCAGATATTATGATCCTTGACAAATAATACATAAATTTAAAAAAATTCTACTCTTGTGCTACTACTTGGTCTGTGGGTAATGGTTGCGCTGTTAAACCAGTGTGCGTTTGACTCGAACCAGACTTTGAAACTTGCTGAGGGAGTAGCGGGGAGGAGGGGGGACTTACGTTTTTCGTGCATATTTTCAATAAATGACGAAATTTGCAAATTAAAAACAAATATATTTAGGAATTGCTTTATGTAAATTTTTTGCAGTACTTGTCACAGTAAAATTGTCAGAAAAAATGAAAAAATAAACAGTTCTGTAATTTTTCTATAGCAGGCAAAACATAAGAATGTACCTAATAAGGATGTTCTGACATGTTTTTCACATGCAACGTTGGTTCTTGTTCTATGAGGTTTCTCCCTTGTGCTACAAAATGTACTACACCACTAGGATTTGCATTTTATTGGCATATGTGCTGTGTTCTATAGTTTGTCATCTGACACATGAAGTTTGTGGTTTATGTTAATTGGGGATGGCTTGTCTTTTGATACGGATCCTTTGTTTGCTATTAATATTTATTTTATTCATATTTTGTCAAAATATATATAAAATATTATTAATTTTAATAAAAGTTCTATGCAATTTCTATTTTTAATTATAGAAAAATATACTTCAATTATATTTAAACCACACAAAATAATTTATAAAATCAGAAAAATCTCTGGAAATGAAAGATATTTTCACTAAGTAGGTGCATGTATTGTTTAGTAATAACTCTGCTTTTTAGAACCCTTTAATATGCAGTTCAATTATTGCTATATTTTTATTGTTTATGACAGAAATAATGATATGCATTTAAAGTTGTTTATATTAATAAAAGGAAGTTACTTTGTCTCATTGAAAACAAACTTTAAAAGGCATGCGATCTGAATTACTAAGACTTTAAAAATGTATGGTTCTGCAGTCATTTTGTGTTATTTAGAGGTAAACGATAAGTAATCAATTGGTTTTCACTCAAAATTTTCGGACAGAAGACTGTGGGAGGGGAATTCAAATATTGGTGGTTTCAGGGTGCAACCACTGCTCGTCAAGGGTTTAACATACTCGGTGCTGAATCACTTCATTCCTGTTTTTCAGTTTAGGTATCTCATAAAATGTCATGGCCAACTGGTGGGAGAGTGGTAAAGTCGCTGAACACTGGTAGTTCGGTTCGTGGTTCAATTCCCACGTACAGGCAGCATGGGCATTTTTGTGGTTTTCCCTATGCGTTATGTGTATACAAGCCAGTTCCCTTAGAAAGTCCTCCATGAAGACATCCCTCCCCTTAGGCAGAGATAGCCCTCGAGTGATTTGCCGTAATCAAATCAACTGAACCAACTATGAAATTTCATATTTATACATCCTGTTTTTCTTGATACTGTGTACTGTTATCTTCCATATTTTACTTTTGCAGCATTTACTTTATATTAAAATTTTACAGGTTTATTTTAAAATTTAACTGCATTGAATAAATTATTCGTATTAATGAAAGAATCTGTATTTCAGTGTGCTGCATTGAGAGCATTTCACATATCTGATGATCCTAAACATTACTATTTGACTGATGTGTATGGTAAGCATTTTTAAATGTTTTTAGTAAGTGCTTTAATTAAAATGCTTGCTTTATTCTGTATTCAAAGTTAGGTGAATCTTTGGAGCCAATTCTAAACTTTTTTATTATAGGTGAGCCACCTGAGAAAGAGATAGAGGAATTTATGCCTGTTCAAAGTTTGACAAGAAAAGAAGGAAAAAGACCTGCTATATTATTGAGATATAGACCTCCAAATTCAAATTTAGGAAGTGTTAAAGTTTATCCTGGTAAATTTAGGTCTGTATTTTTCATGGTTTCAAATTTGAAGTTTATTAGCATTAAATTCTAAAATTACTCCATTAACATATGAATCTGTAAAGTAAAGAAAGAATTCAAATCATAAATATATAACATGCATATAAATAAGAATTTGCACATCATTAATAAAGGCTTAATGTTACCTATATTTCAACAGAAACTAATTTACTCAGCACATCAACTAACTAGAAATTTTTTTGGCATTTTAAGTTACTGAACTTCACTGTACATGTAATCACCTTTGTAATTTTTAAATGCTGGTAATATGAATGGTAATTATTTGTATGATAAATATGTTCATTTTGATATTTTTATAGTTAAGTGACATATGTGACACTATATTGCTGTAAGACTAGATGCCCTCTTGCATCTACATTGACATATGTTATAACCGTGTTATTGGAATGTAAAGTTCAGTAGATTAGAACTTAGTAGTTATTGTTTTTAAACTAAATAAATGCAAATCAAGTTATGCCCAGCAAGACATCTTTTGGACTCAGTGATTTAATCCTTTCAGATGTGAGATTTCTTCAAAGCTTGAGATAACTACTTGCAACAGTGAGTGGTGTATTAGTTAACTCAGAATGCAAGAATTATAAAACTCCAACCCCAACCCAGGAAATTGGATAACTTGACTTAGGGTAAAATCACCATCAGATCTCAGAAGTAATTTCAGGAGGTTATGGCACTTGTGCTAACAGTCAAGAGATACATGGATTCTCTGGGCAAACTGAAACACATGAGCATAATTACACTGCTTAAGAAAAGTCTGAAAACAATTAGCTTTTTGCATTATATACAATTTTGTAATTAATTACAGTATGTACAAATTTTTGTTTCTGAAAACTTTCCCAAGAAACTACTCAACTGGTTACACTTATGTACTAATAAAATCCTTCCAAAACTGAAAAAATTCATTCATGAAAACTACGACGAAATACAAATTGTTAAAGACATGGTTCTTGATTTTTTTAAATTTAGACTTTCTAATTGTCTGGCTCTACGCAAAATTTATTTTAAAGCCAATTTTCTGCATCCGCAAGTATTCGATTCTCTAGAATAATCAATGAATGTAAAGTTTACGTCCCAGCTGTAGACACCATACCAATAGTTGCATTTAAATATCAAAAGACATTAATTAACTTGCTTACTAACCACTATAAAGTAGATGAGTCAGCAGAATGACATTGCAAACTACCACTTTACAGTACTTACGTAGATGCTCATCACCAGCACATAATTACTGGCAATCTGGATATCATACAAAACGATCAACTAAAAACGCTAATGAGTTATAGATTAAAATTTAGACCAGTCATACACATAAACAAAAATTACTGTAACAAGACTTTCGAAATCAGCATCAGCAATTTAAAGCAAGCTATCAACTGAATTTACCTATAGATACCTTTTTAAAATGGAAAGATGAAATACTTAAACGCATTTCCACCACACTTAATTACCTCAAGTTTCAATATAAGTACATTAAATTGGTCACAGCTACTGTCTGATATAAATAACTTAAAAAAGCTTTTTACTATTACAAAAATAGATAAAGCAAATAATAACTTTATCATTATATGAAAACAATTCTACGTAGCAATTATTAATAAAGAACTTTTCAACGCAACTACTTATCAATTAGCAAACCTTACAGAAAATTCTATAATAAACAGAATTAAAACTTTTCATAAAAAAAACTAAGTATCTCTTTAAATCCAAGCTACAACAGATTTACTAACCTCTATGCACTTCCCAAATTCCATAAAACACTGTTAAAATTCAGATTTATAGCAAATTGAACTAATAACTACAAGAAAAATGTAAGCTATTATTTTGCAATTCAGCTTTAAAAAATTTGTAAATTTATTTTCAATGTGATTGTAACACTAATCCTAACTATTTCCTGATCATCCATAATAACACTCCTGTCATTAATGCCATTCAAACAATTGACATACAAAACATTCACTGCTGTAACTTTCAAAACTTATATACCTCACTTCCTTTAGAAGAAATCTATACTAGTCTACTAGATCTGCCTTCACTTTTCCCTGCTATGCTCACGATTATGAATCTTAGTAAATGGAAAACCGACCTAAAATGCGTCCTTTTTCATAACTACATTAAATTTCAAAATAAAATTTTTAAACAAGTCAGATGACTTCCAATGGGCTCACATTCCAGTACTTCGATCTGTAATCTCTTTTTTATTTATTAAAGAATTTACCTTCCAAAAAAATTTACAACAGCAAGAATTAAATTACTACAAGCACACTTACAGGTATATAGATGATCTTATTATATTTAATATTTTTAATAAGTTCGAATACTCAGAGATTTATCCAGAATGCCTTAACACTTAATAAAACTAATCATTTGCAAAATAACATCGAATATCTCAATCTTCAAATCATTGACTACAAAAAAATTTTACTGTTTGACAAAACAAGAAACTTTAATTTCACAAAACAAGAAACTTTAATTTCACAAATTAATAAAATGGACTTCCAACATCTCCAAAAATGTTATTAGTAATGCAATTTTAAATCAAATACAACGTGTTAAAAATATATGCACAAATACGATAGATTTACAATGCGAAATTTTGCTCCTTATTAAAATTTTCAAAATTAATCTAATACCTAATCGATTTATTAACCATTGTCTTAAAAAAGGGCAGGCGTTAAATACTCATTCTAACTCATTTAACTTATAGGGATATGATAATTTATTATTAAACCTGAGAAGGCAGTATAAGTTGGATGACTATGAGTTGGAGGATTTGTATGTAGTGTAATTACAAAATTGTATATAATGTAAAAATCTAATTGTTTTCAGACTTTTTTTATGCTGTTACTAAAAAAATGAGCCTGTTTCCTAATCTTTAGTCTGTCGAAAAGCTCATTGACAGTGAAAATTACTTTTTTTCCTTTTCTAATTTTCTTCCTCGTTCCGACACAACAATTAGTCAGAAATTAATTAATTTCCATTCATTAGTTGGTATATTCAAAATTTTAACAGACGTTTTCACTCACAAAAGAACTCTGCAACAAACGTCCCTCAAACATTCCTAGTCACTCCCATGTCCGATAAACTACTACTCACAAGTTTCACCGCTTGAAATAATTCAAAGTATCCCGGCTGCCGATAACGGAATTTCGGACACACACCCCTTGTGTGTAAGACACAGATAAGAACACTTTATCGACATCACACTAGAAAGAACGTGAGTTAATTAATGCATTTTCTGGCCTTTTATATCTTCATGTACATTTCACATTTTACTTTGATTTGTTTTTGCAAAGATAACATTGTTATGTTTCTTAATTTTCTCATTTTTATTTCAATTGCTTCGAGTTCTGTTTCATAATTCCAATTAAGATTATTACTGTTTATTTTTATAAATAGTCTTGAATTAACATGCATAAAAGCAAAGGTGTTGGAGAACATTTACTCAAGTATTTTGTAAATTTTACTACATAAAATGCTTTTTCACTCAAAATTTATAAAGAATCTTGTATTAGTGAAAGTGCTTCATTCAGAGTGAGATCTTTGATACTCTACTTTTGGTTATAGATCCCATTACTTCACGGAACTACAATTTTGGCCTAATTTAATTTGCCAGTTTGACATCATTCTTACTTGAGTAAAAGACGAAACACCTCATTTATTAATTATTGTTCATTGAATGGGAGTTGGTTTGTTCCCCTCAAAAAGTCAACTAATTTCCGATCAATAGTGATAATTATTTGTTTTTAATTTCTTTTACAAAGTTTGAAATTTTGTTATGCATGATTTAAATTAAAGTCCCCGTAAAATGTTTTTTTTTTCCCTCATAATTTACTTTCAATTTACTTTAACTTTCTAAAGCTGGCAGTACAACTGTTGTACCACAAAATTTACTTGCTTTTAAGCCAGCTATGATACAACTGTTGTACAAGCCTTTCTTTCCCCCTTTTAGAGTAACCATTTATCTTTAGAATCTCTAGGTGGTCCAGTTTCCTGTCACAGAGCAGCTCCTGGCTATGCATTGTGTTTCGTATCTTATCTGATTGGCTACGTTTTGGCGAAGACGTCTCGCGCCAATGTACTTGAAAATAAAACAGATGCTATCTCTCTTTTAAACATTATAGCTTTTTCTTGTGATTTCAGTGTAACTTTTTTCCCCACGCTCTTATTCAGTTCTTATTATGGCACCTTGTTTCAAAGGTCAGGATGAAATTAATAATTTGCTAAGAGATTTAGAAGGGGAAACTTTTGTTGACACAAAATCGCACTGTTCAGATCCAGAAGAAATACGTTTTAATCAATCTTTTAATGAAGATAAAGTTGCCTATGACTTCAAAAGCAATGCTAATAATTTATTTGAATGGAGACAACCAAATGAGCATGACAAAGCTAACATATTGACCTTTCTTTGTAATCCTGGTATAAAGACTAAATTTTCGGAAACTCATCTTGCTGTTCATTTAAAAAAATTTTCAGATGAATTGTTTAAAACTTTAACCAGAGAAACTAATCGATGTGCTTCTCAATCTTAGAGTTGTGGCCAAATATAAGTGGAAAAAGAAAGCATTTTGTTTTGAAAATATTCCTGGCTAATCGTTTTGATCACTAAAAGAAATATAAAAAACACGTTTCCTACACTGTAAATGTCAACACCCTGTATGCCCTTATTACTTTCAAAGTACAAAAGATTAATCTTTTAAAAATAAATTAGAATATTTATTATGTAGAACATATGTATATCCATTTCATTTAAAATCAAGGAAAAATCAAACTTATAACGATGATTTTGAATGAAATCAGGCTATGAAACAAAATTTACGTAGAATTCTTTGTAAACATTTAAAACTGTTCTGAAAAATATTTTTGATAAATTTATATTTTCTAAAATTTTAAATCGTAGATTAAAATTCTCTTCAGCAAATATTAAAAAGAAGCCTCAAAGTGCTCTCTCTCTCTATGGACACCACGAAAATGCAAAGATTTAAGAAATTACCTTATCAGACTTCACTTCACACTGCAGGTATAAAATGAGTTGAATATATGGGTATTTGCAGAATTTTTTTCTCTTTTAACGTAAGCAATATTCAATTTTACAATATATACCTACAGATGTACCTTCTTTGCCCTGATAGTCCAAAGTAATATTTGTTTAGTTAAATGATCAAACTAATATATCTCTAATTTTCTTTTTTATATTACAATAAAAAAATTAAGAAACAGATCTAAAGCTTTATTATTGTTTTATGTTTATTTCAAAATCTAACAGTAATGAATATTATTATGAATTCCTTATCATTATTTCATTAAATTATTCATTACTATTACTTTAGTAATGAAAATAAATTATCAAATATTGCATTCCGACCTGCAGGCACATAAAGCTACTTCATATTTGTTATATTTTGCCAAGTTCTATTCTTGTTTCTTAATTTCTAGTAGAAACAAAGACGGAAAAATCACAAATAATTACCGAGATTGATCAGAAATAGTAAATGTTATATAGTTTAAATTAAATCAAAATAAACCTCAGAAAAGTTGCATATATAGTAACCTATTCTAGACTATTGTCTAGAGTTTGACAAACATGGAAATTTTACTTCATTGATGGAGGAGACAAATGACCAGCATAGCGACTTTTCTCATTAGGGAACAGTAAAAGAGGGGGAAAAGTGTTTTGCATCGTGCGCCGTCCTTAAGGTTATGTTACTAGAATTTAAGCCTTGTTTTAGAAGTTTAAAACACAATTTTTGGAATTAAACTTCCTACATGTGGGTTCCCTCTTTTTTGATACTTCTACTAAATTTATATTAGGAGATAATATAATCAATATATATTTAGTAAGTAAAATAATAATTTACTTACTAAATATATATTGATTATATCTGACTTTGCAGCTATTGCAGAAGTATTAGAAAAACTTGTTTTCAAACTAAGTGAATTTTAGATCATTCAACATTATATATATATATGTTGGGATGTGGACTAATTTTCTTAATTATCTTGTAATTAATTATCTTAACTTGGCTTATGTTTTTTGCTATATTTCAGAGCTGCTGATACACATAGGGTTATACCTGTTACAAGTGATACTAGTGTTGAAGATGTCATGTCAGCAACTCTAACGGAATTTGGATTGGATACATCAGATATAAATAAGTACAGATTAAGCGAAGTTACTTTAGATAGAGGATGTAAGTAAAATACTTTTTGCATTTAAAGCTTGTGTTAATTTGTTTTTAACCACGGGGTGTCTCATTTACACCATTACATAAGTGGCTAATTTATTTGTAATATATGGTTTAGTATTTTTAAAGAAGTTGATTGTGGAATTGCATGTTGATTTTCTGGTTGTGGATAAATTAATGGTACCATTACATTGTTGTCCTAGCCGACCTGCTAAGTTGCCAGTCACTGCTGATTAATTTAACGCCAACCTTTGAAAAATTAGTAGCCATTTAAAAAAAAATAGTTGGGATGCCCTGAAAATTTCATAAAACAGAAAAAAATTAATTATAAACACAAGAAATATCTATAATGAAACCCCAAAATTATATTAAGCAACATCCATAATAAAACTCCAAAAGTTATATAAAATAGCAACAACTTAATTAAAAATGGAACGAAAGCCATAATAAAGCACTTTCTTTTTTCCTCACCTTCGGCCTATGTGTTCAGTCATCTAACTTAAAAACATCAGAGAACTGCAGGATTCTCTTAATCACAGAGCTAATTACTTGACACTGCTCTCAATGTGCACACTGACCAGGTTAATCTTAAAAAACACATCGGAGAATTTCAGATTCTCGGCACTGCAGAGCAACATGGCACTATTCTCCATGTGGTCTGTTTTAACTTGGGGAAAAAAATTCAAGAATTTCACTCATTCAGAAAAGGGGTTATCACATTCGCCTAAGGACAGTTCATGAACTGGTTGCGTGCTGCAAGATTTCTATAATAATGCTACATCAGAGATAAATAAAAGCTAGCCAAATTCATCATTCTATGTGCATTTTATTGATTTAACAATAGTAATAATGAAAATCAATCCATACAATATATACATTTTTACAAAGGTGATGCCTTGGTGTCCTCTGCCTTTTATTCCTCCACTCGACATATGACCGTAGGGTCCATGTTTTGTGTATGTATCAGAAGATCTACAAAATTCTACGTACGATTTACTTTCCAGTGATCATAAGTGGCTCACTCAAGTTCTTCCATCCTATAGCTTCTCTAGCTATCCGAAAATATAGTATTTCTTTCAGCAGTATGTTTTCTGATTTCACCCATAAACATTGCCATGCTACAATCAGAAACCAGACATAGAAATGTTTCCATAGCTTCTTTACAAATCCTTGCTAAACTCTACTGCTGCAGAAGAATGTAACCTTTTGTCTTGTGAATAAACATTTATCTAGTTCAACAATGCATCCAATGCAACCAATTTTTTGACATTCTTCTTTTTCTCATAGTAGACATGCATTCTTCTCATGAATAATTGCACCAATTAGTAGTATTCAGATGCATATCAAGTTCATCCTCACAAAACTTTCAGGGTGTATATTCTTTGACCAGCAAAGTTAAAGTGAAGAGCTGTCATAAATGATATTTGGCTATCCTCAACCCAATTTGCTACTCTTATTCACGTTGCTGGCAATCTTTGAAATAGCATTTCTGTACAGTTTGATTATTTGTAAAATACATCTTTGCATTAGCAAGCAAACTTCACAAATTCATTCACGATTCTTTGCAAGTGTAAAAAATATGCCCACGTTATCAACAAGCGAAGACTACTGATAACCTTTGAATTCCGAAACTGTGCACATCACATGTTGGTGTAATGCATATGCAGCCATTAGTGGTGTACCAGGTGAAATGCTTTTTGTATATTCTGGGTGCCTACTTTGCCGGCTTAGTACTTTGCCCAATGTTTCTTGTCATTGTTGGGTGGATAATGCAATAGTACCAAATTAATTTATTGGCTTTAAAATAACATTTAGTGTAAAAAATACAAAGTGGTTATAATTGAACTTACCTTATTTATGCCTACATAGAGGCTGTTTTGGTGGACCTATTTAGTTGAACCTTCGTATATATGTTAGATAGACCATGGGGAAAAGAAAACTACAATAAAGAGTAATTGTTCAAGTTTTGATCACTAGGTGAGAAGGCTCATGTGAAAAGCAATAAACACATAACTTTATTGTATTACAACATTGTTCAATGGACATTCCATTTGCACCAATCACATGTTCAAAACTTGTTCAGCAGTAGTGCCAAGAGTTTCTCAATTAGTTACAGCAACATTATGTATTCTGCTTGTTCTCAGTTCAGGAATAACCTGTATGCTTCCTCCATAGACACGATCTTTCAGGAATCCTCCCAACCAAAAGTCAGAGTAATTTAAGTCAGGAGAACAAGGAGGGATGGCAATCACAAAACTTCTTGAAATTATGTGATCATCTCCAAAGTGGGCGTGAAGTAACCTATTCACTAATCTGTGAGTGTGAAGTGGTGCACTAATTTGTATCAAGACTGTAATTCATAAGCATTCTCATTCTCGTAAGGCAGGAACATCAGGGGTGGTGGTGAAGCAGTTTGCAGTAATGGGCACCTATGATGGAACATCTTTGGGAGCCTTGAAGGGTGCTTTTCCTCCATAGAAAAAGGAACCAAGCATAAAAACAGTAAAACTTGCAGCATACTCTGATAAAATCAGGATGCTGAAACCATTCAAGCACAACACCAGAAGTTCCAGTACTCCGTATGCGACAGTTTTGTATATTGACTGCTCTGTCTGGGGTCAAATGCAACTCGTCCGACTAGAAAATGTTCCAAAGCCATGCACTGTCAGTGGCTATACTTCCTGAAAGGAAGCTAGCAAAATCATTGCATTTATCCAGGTCTGCTTTTTCAAAAACTTAGATCTTGTGTGGACCACAGAATCATTTATACTGGTTGCATGACACCACTCAGCCAGCAGACACTCTTTCTACTTCGGCCACTTCTTCGCAGTGCACACAACATTATATGTTGGAATGTATGTAGTATAAGGTTATCAGTATGTAATGTAGCACAGGAATGTCAATAATTATTTATAATAATAGCAGGTTGTATTGTAGTAAGAGAAGTTATGGTTTAAGGTACTGCATTTTTTCCTCCTACTTCAAATTGCAGTTTCCTTTGACCGCTAATATAAGTACAGTTTGAGAACTGAAAGTTTTACTGGTGAACTTACTTTACAGCTGAAAGTAAATATCACTGTGCAATCTAACAACAATGAAATAAAAGGCATTAAATTTAGAAATACTGTTCAGTGTTACTGAAAATGCTGCTGGCTGTTTGTCATAAAAGAATTAGCAAGGAAAACAAATAGAATAAATGTTTGATAGTAAAAAGATTATTCATTTACTTTGTGAAGTTTGCAGAGATACTTTAATTTCATTAATTAATGCATTATGCTGCTACAAAAAAAAGTATTGCGATTTTTTTTAAATTCTTTCTGGTGCGGTGTATAAAAGAATTTAAATTGCGGTAAAATTTTACATGAACTGTGTTATAACGAGAACTATCGATGTGGTATATCATAATCGGACTTAAAGTTGGCACAGCGCCAAGCATCAAAGCGCACGCAGTAATAAGAAAATGACTAGAATGCGAGTAGCTGTAGATATAAGTGTGTATAAGAGTGATGATATTTTTTGTACATATAATAAAATAGTGTTCGTAGCGGTTCTTATAAGTCCTTATATTTGAAAATAAAATAGAAAAGCCCGTATAGGTGCTTACTTTTTCTCTAAAGCACTTATTTTTCCTTTCTATTGCTTATTTTTTGCTTTTATTGCTTTTTTTTTTTTTTTAACAAACGCACATTTTTTCCCCGTACTAAATCCGAAACTAAATAAACAACTTCCTTATATCGAACGTCAAACGGTGAATCATAATCCCAGAAATAGCTTTTCTCCCTTTTTCTGCATTAAGATAACCTTTGGTGCGTGCGAGTGCAGACAGGTGCACGTCATTTTATTGGCCAAAGAATTGCGGAAAGCGGTAGAAAATTCCAGTGCATTCTGTATTCTTTTGCTTCCACCCAATACTACACATGTTTTAATTTCTATCAAGATTTTAATAATTTACATTCTCGTTTGTTACATTCATTCATTAATTAATATTACATTCATTAATAATTTACATAAAGATCGCGAAAGTACTTCCAAAAACTGTCTGAATGTGCAAAACATAAAATAGATCCTCCTTAGGTAAAAGTTCATCATTGGGAGTATCCAAGTGCTCCAGTGGAATGTATTCACATCGATTATGCAGGACCTATTTTTGAGCATATGTTTTTGATAATTGTGGATGCTCACTCAAAATGGCTAGAAGCCTGTCCAATGAAATCAAGCTCGACTTTCAAAACAATAGAATGTTTACGGAACTTTTTTTTGCACGATTCGGATTACCAATATTGTTAGTGAGTGATAACGAGCCACAATTTATTTCACATGAGTTTAAGCTATTTCTACAGAGTAACGGAATCAAACGCAGAACTACAGCACCATTTAAACCATCTAGTAATGGGCAGGCTGAACGGTATATGTTTACAGCAAAACAATCTTTAAGAACAATGCAAAATTATCCAGGAACTTTGAAACATACAATAAGGGAAAGCTCCAACTGCAGAGCCATGCAATGCTAATGCTGAAGAGGGAAATCTAACAAGAATAGATTTATTGTGACCAGATCTCAAAAGGAGGGTGCAAGACAGAGTTCAAAAAGGAAGCTACGAGTTTGCAGACCAAGGAGATAGATTGGCAGCAAGGAATTATCGCCAAGGTGATAGGCGATGAAGATTTGGAACCGTCCAATCCAAGGATGGGCAACTTCATAACACCATAAATGTAGATGGTCAGCTATGGTGACGACATATCAATCAGATGCATGATGGAGGAATCATAACAGACGAGGGGTTCATACGTCCTTCTCCAGCTCTCGTGATTTCCAAAGAGCCTGATAAGAGTGGAGTTCCCGAACCATCCAAAGATAATAGCCACCAGGCAGATGAATCTGTGTCGTCCTCCAAGCCCAAGGTTGTACGAGATGTTCCATCCACAGGACCTGTTGCATATAGATACAAACAGGTTACGAAAGAAACCAGCAGTGCCACAACCTTTGCGTCGTTCCAGTAGAATTTGACATCCCCCAGATAGACTGCAGTTATGATAAAGGGGAGGAATGTGGTATATCTATAACTATTGATGTGGTATATCATAATTGGACTTAAAGCAGGCACAGCGCCAAGCATCGAATCACGGGCACTAATAAGAAGAAAATGACTGAAATGCGAGTAGCTGTAGATATAAGCATGTATAAGAGTGAGGATATTTTTTGTACATGTAATAAAAGTAGTATGGAGAGTAAAAGAGTGTCTTGTGAAATAATTGTCCACTAAAAGATACACGGTAAACTGTAACTTTTGGACCCCAAGAATGCACAATTGAGACTTAAAAGAAAATCTAGAACAAAATCCTGAATTTTGAAAGCTGGTATATATTTTTTACAACTGCCCCTGTAGAGCATTTTCTGAAGTGAAAAAGTTTTATAATTTCTTTAGAAATTTAAAGTTTTAGAAATAATATTTATGTTTTTAGGTGATTTGATAATGCCACCCAGTTGAAACACACTTATGTAAAGCTTTTGAAAGTGATTTAAATTCAATCTTATTATTTTATCAAAAAAATTAGCAAATATAACACTGTATGAGTAAACCGTATCATGCTCTATTATTCTAGTGTAATGTTACAAGAAAATGTAACTCGGGTGAAAAATAAAAACTCAAAAAATGAAACTTTATGACTCAGCTTTTAAAAATTATATTTTATGCTTTGGATAATATATAAAAAGAACATGCTTCTTGCTGTGATACCAAGAAACCCCTCCCACAGCAGACTTTTGATTTTCGAGCACCTTAAGGGCCTCTTTTTAATTTTTGGTAAATATATGTTGTTATATATCATTTTGTTCAGGAAGAAACGCTGTTAATCTATTTTATTATTTGATACACCTCAAAGACCTCATTTTGATTTCCAGCCCCTTTTTAAAATTTCGATGTATAATTTTGCTCAAGTAGAACATCTCTTCAATAGAGGTAAAGTACAAACACACTGTGAAGCTCTTCCCTAGCCCTGCGGAACCAGTGAATATTTTCTTTCCCAAAATAAATTATTTGCATCTAAAGCTGGCCTTAAGCATTTTGTCCCCTTTCATCAACTGTGAGGAGTTATTTCGAAAGCCGCGTACTTGGGGGGGGGAATTTCTCATGTTCTCTAGTGTTTCACCCGACATTAACACGTTGAGCGCGGCGCCGGATTTGCTGTCCTTTCCATTCAGCCGGCAGCAATCTAAGTAGTATTTTTTTTTAGAATATTTCAATACATTTCATTAAAACTAAATTTGATCACATTTCATTGAGACTATATTTATTTTTTAATGCTGCCGGTCCCGCGGACTGATGCCAGCCAAACGAAAATTCCAGTGCTAGTCCCCAGGGACCGATGCCGGCCACATGGAAAGTTCACTGCCGGCCCCCAGAGACCGGCGCCACGCTAAAAGTGTTAACAAAGAGGATTCCCTAAAGCATAAAGCCATGTTTGCAAATATCAGATTTCCATTCCACTACGGTGTGAAAACATAAAGCGAATGGTTATTTGTTATATTTGTGAGTAAGGTTCCCTTTTGTGTGATCTTATTGAAACCCAGGGTTTTGGAAAACAAAGTAATGGGTGTCTTACGGGATTAACATGCTGCATTTAACCCTTATATAATTGTGTAACCTTATGACACCAGATGACAATTTAGAAATCAATGAGTTTGTCTCAAGGGGGGGGGGAAAGGCTGATGTGGTGAAATTAAAATGTTAGCTAAACAAACATATGAAAACTCAACTGAAGTAAGCAAAAAATAAAAAAGAAACTAAATTACATTTATTCATAAAGTACATTATTATTGTTTGTTAGGTTCATTAAACTCTCCATCCCCATGTCATGCCATAGAGTAGAGAAGGATAAGTCTGATGCTGCCATCTATTGGCATGGTACCCGCAGTATGGTCGCTGGTATATTTTATATACTGGTATTAAAATCATATAAAGAATCTTTTTCAGTTTTGATTGAAGTTCAGCATGTATGTGTCATATTATTTTCATAACTGCAAAATTTTGATCATTGATAGGGCAGTGCTGCCTTTAGAATCAAAAGTAAACACTAGAAATTCAAGATTACAGCTTTTGGTCTAGAGAAATTAGCGTTTTTTAAGATGTTAAAAAATTGAAAGAATACCGGTATATGTTATATACCTGTGCCTTTTATTAAAAGACTAGATATATTTTTGCTGGGGATGGGTGGATTTTGCTTTTACAGTCTTTACTGTTTGTTATATTTTCCTTTCATTTATTTTTATTGAAGTAAGTTCACCATCAGGCTTTATTTATTCTTAAAGGAATATATTATTTTAAGTACTTCTTTGGTAAATTAAAAAAGACAATCAAAGTGTAAGGAACTTTAATGAAAACAAAGTATTAACAGAAGTATAACTAATAATATAATTGATAAGCTGTTAAGAAGATGTTTGGAAGTAGGACAGACCCAAGAATTCTTTTCAAGAAAGAAGACATTTCCTGTTGTCAAAAACATAGTAAAATTTTCACTTAACTGACCCCTTATAATGTATAACTCTGTAACTAGATGACCAGATACTTTCCTTGCTTTTCAGCAGTGCTAATTACTCTTGCCAACAGGAGCATGGAGGAATAATAATAAAAAATTGCCATAAATATTACCAATAGTTGTAATTAATCAGTAAGGAAATAGATATTAATAACCAGTAATTTTAACATGGTTTTAGTAAAAATTCATTGCATGCAGTTTTGATTTTGGGACGGACATTTGAAAAGTGGAATATTTGTCAAGACTCTATGACATTTTTGCAAGAAATGTGATTTTCCTGGGCAAAACCGTGAGTTAAGATAAGCATTTTGACAAGTAGTTAGATGAATTACAGTATTTTATCTATATTTTGATTTGACTGTGCCAAAGAAATTTTTGGTGTAGCACTAGAATCCCTGTGTTCAATACCCTACCCAATATCGAAAGCATAAGTAGTTTTCGAATGATACCAGTAAAATTACTGAGGAGATATTAATAATGATATAAATATTAAAGATAATATATATGTATTTGCGTAGTTTTTTTTAAATTTAAAATAATTAGGTGAACTAAGTAAAAAGGTAAATAATTGTAGATGGGTCGTGCAAAACTCAAACTGTCATGAAAATACCATCTGGAATAGCTAAGAAAGGCTGTCAAGCTGGTGAAAACCTGGTTAAGCTAAAAATGGATTAATACATGGGAAAGAATAAGATCAAATCTTAAGGTCTGCTATAGTAAAAAGAATTTTGTGTACATTTATTTGATTAGCATTGCATATATAGTATGAACTGAGACACAACAGACAACAGAAGCACACATAGCATTGTGAAAAAGTACAAAATAGCCAGGTTGACAATATAGAACGGCCACAGAATAGATTATGTACCTGGTACTTTATTTAAACATTGTGACTACACAATAATAAAGTTTCCCTAATTATACATGTTACTCCAGATGGAGAGTTATAAACATAGTATGACACTTAGTCCATTAAGCAGTATTCTTGGAGCAGAAAATTCGAATATTTTGAATAATTTGTCGATAGCATGCTCAGATGCTTGCAGCTTGGGCATTTTTTCTGAGATTTTACAAAGAATTTGACTGCACTGTCCATTTAATGAAGGATTTTGCTTAGGTTAAGCAGCTGTGTTTGAGCACGTTATTGCTATATATTGCAATGCATAACCATGTTTTTCACTTATCTTTCAGAACTAAGGATATTTATCTTAATAGTGGCAACTATCAAGTTCTTTAAGAGCAGATTTATTGATATTTCTTTTAGGTTATGAATATTTATTTTTACTATTCATAAAACTATTATTTTGTTGAAAAAGTTATTTCAATAGTGTAATCTACTTTGTTTTCTCTTTTAGCTGTGCATGAAAGAGCAATGGACAATCAAGAAGGACCTTGGGATTTATTAAAAAACATAGCTAGAGTAATTGTTTTGTAATAACTATTCCTGTAGTGCATTAGTAATTTTGTTAAAAATGTTATGATTTTGTTAAAATAATTATGGATACTTATTTATGAAAAATAATTTTTGTCTACTTATTTCATTTTGTTTGTATACAGGCATACACTAAAGTGTTGGGAAAGCTAGTACATTGTCTTATTGCTTATAGGCCTCCCAGCAAGATGTAAAAGGCATAAATATAATGGCACTAGGCCTTTCATGAATTTTCACATGCAAGTATTCTACACACAATAAATGAAGTACTTTTTGCAGAGCAGCCATGGTTATTTTGTATTCCAAAGTGTAAGGTTTGTGTGTTCCATGCTGCATTGCTTGATGTCACAGATGTGTTAGATCACATAGAATTTTGGAATGTCTCCAAACGGATGAGTGTTCTTTAACTGTAATTTGGCATCTCTAGACCTGTGTGATAAAATTTTACATCACTCAGGTTTTCCTGTTCAAGGAAGTCAAAGCCATCAAAATGAATGCAGGACATCTATGTATGGAATTTTTCTGATTTTTCTAATTAAGGTAGCAGTTTCCCAGTGATTGCCAGTTAAGGACAGATTATAAAATTATATAGCTATTACCATTTTGTATGATCCCCTGTTCGCATGCAGGATCGATAACTTCATGAGGTTTTTTCTGCATGTATTCTCTCTGCTCGAAAATCGGACGAGACTACTAGTTTTCAGTCATCACTCGTCCTATAGACATGTTTCCGAGCCTGGACAAGATGCATAGCTCTGCATTCAGCAGTTGTACTACAGTGAGGCATCTTGCTGTACCCATATCATCTAGGGAACATTGCTGTTTGTTAATTCTCTCTGCTCGAAAATCGAACAAGACTACTAGTTTTCAGTCATCACTTGTCCTATAGACATGTTTCCGAGCCTGGGCAAGATGCGTAGCTCTGCATTCAGCAGTTGTACTACAGTGAGGCATCTTGCTGTACCCATATCATCTAGGGAACATTGCTCTTTGTTGATTTGTTGAGGCTTTAGTATTCATTTCTGATGTTACTTGGAGCAGTATGGTGCATGTTTCATATGAAATGATCCTTGACGACCAGTGTTGGTCATATTTATGCAGTTGGTCTTTATTACTAGACATCTCAAGAAGTACATTCAATTTGCTTAACTTGCAGTTGTTATGGTGAAAACTGTAAAAATTTTCTCTATCTGTAGATTTATATAAGCATTTGTTAATGCATATGTGCCATTGCTGTGTGATCCCAGTAGGCTTGTGTTTATCAGTTTTTTCCGGGCTTTTCAGTGTGCATATGTGCAAAGTGAATATTTGTAAGTTGAAACTTTAGACAAATGATATTAAGAAAAAAATCTTAAAAATGGAAGACTTTATTGACATTTCAGGAGGACGCAAATTTCGTTTTCCATGACAAAAATAGTTTAACTTTTGCCATGCACAGTCGAATAATATAGGTTTTCCTTTTAATGAAGTTAGATTGACTCCAAATGATCTTTAAAATGTTTCTTGGTAAAATAAGTGCAACATTTCTTCGTGAAACATTTAGTTTGCAGAGGCAAATTTATGGTGTTATGCAAAATGCATTTGCAAGGAGCCACAAACTCATTTATTAGTTTGTGAATACAAACCATGATGGGGAGCAAGAACTTTAAAAAGATGAAAGATGAGGAGCACTAAATACTTTTTGTTCACCACTGCATAAACATATCATTGCTTATGAACTTTTTCCATTAGCATTTTGAATGATCCACCCTGTTTTCACACACATACTGTATTTTCTCCCATGTTTTTCCACATAGATTTTTATCACCAGATTATAATTTGCATTATATCCCCCTTCCTCAGTGCATTTAGGAAACGAGCTCCCTTAAATTTTAAAATGCATTCATTCATGTCATGATTGTTTTCATCTTACTAACAAAGATAAAAACCTATGCAAACTACCCACAAAGGTCACACAGAAACCTTCCTTTCTAACTGATGAACATTTTGCTCGCCTTATATAATAGACCAATCACAATGAAACAGCAATTCTACTGAGTCAGCAGCACATTAATCTTCTCTAATTATTCATGGATGATTTGAGGCCTGAGGAGTAGCAGAGAAGATAAGAATAAGTGAGATACAGATCACGGGGAAGTAGAAATGAAGATATCTTATTAGATATTGTAATATTAAAATTACTTTATATTCCTATTGGAATGTAGGTTTCTTTTAAAGAAATAATACAATACTAGTTACTTGTAGTTTATCCATGACTACTTTTGTTGTGTTCTTACTGTAACGAGTTCTTTCAGAAATTATTCACATAATTCTCCTCTTCCAATTTTCAAATGATAAAATTTATAAAAAGAAATGTGTCAATTGTTAGGGAATATGATAATGTTTTATTTCCCTTCTGTTCATTAGCAGGTACTCTACAGTAAGTAGGTTATTATTATAATGAAATTCCTTTAATATGGATTAGAATGATATCAAGTTTGTTGAAGTAATTTTAGTTAACCTGATGCAAGTTTCTTATAGTTATTAATGCAATACAAATTGGAATGATGATTACTCTATATTTTGAAGAACAATTCCTTAAATACACAAAATGTTTTCTGCTGACTTCCTCACTGTATGTTGTAGAATGCAGAACAGGCCATAAAGTTGATATATCCATGAAACTCAAGGAAGATAGCTAGCTTCATGAGAAATTTTTTTAAAATTTATTTAATACATGCACACAAAGGAATAAAGATTTTTTACTTATTAAATTATTGACAGAAATCTTTGAACCATGTTGTACACATCTTCTTATAAAGTCGTCCTAACGCTTTCAATTTTTTTGGCAAAGTTTCTGTCCGCCTTCACAACAGCATCCACCAGTTAACTTTCACTTTGCGCTTTCTTAGCATTTTTTCACTTCATATATGTCCCTGCTTGGGAAGCATATATGTCTCCTTAAAGATCATGCACACTGTCAAATCTGAAGTTTTTCTTCTGTGTACCCCTGCATGCACTCGCAATGTCGTACCCAGAACGTACCATTTCACTGGAGTACACAAAATCACGTGTACGTAAACCATGCACTTTCAACACTTGTATGATAACATGATAAAATTATAATTTCATATCAAAATAAGATTAGTGTACAGAATAGTCAGTGGCATTTGGTTACCATGGTAGTTTTACATAAACCTGACCGCAATTCTGAATCATTATAAAAGAGGATGCATATATAATAACTTTTGTTAAATATAAATAATGATAAAGAATTTCCTTAAATGTTACAGACAGTTTGTTCGCCTGTTATCTTCTGTATGCCATGCTACCCACTCACTGAGTTACTGCTAGGTAATCCCCATAGAGCATTTGCGTTTCCATGTTGTCTTCCTATTCAGTAAGAAAGCCTTATATTATACCTTTGTAATGCCACAACAGACGACCTTAGCTGTGTTGGGTTGAGTTTGCATTAGGTACCTAAAAGGATTATGGTCAGATACAACCTGGATATCTGCTCCAAAAATATGTGTATCAAATTTCTGAACAGCCGAGAAAACACTACAGGATTCCTTCTCACTTGAGTGCCATATATTTTGACAAGATGTTAGTTTTGGGCTATAGAAGTACTCTTTCCCTTCATCATCTGTTTGAGACATACAGGCACCAGCCCTGAAATGTCAATATATATTTGGAAATGTTTATTTAGTACAGGAGTGAATAGTGATTACATATCGGAAAGATGTCTCTGTAATTTCTGAAAAGCTGTTTCTTCATGTACCCAAGGGATGTCAGAGGATAATCTTCTTAGTCAAGTTTGTAAAATGAAATAGTAAAGTGGCAAAATTCAGAGTGTAGTCATGGTAGTAGCTGGAAAGTTCTAAAATACCATGTGCTTCCTACTTCCTTTTTATTGTTGGTCTAGACCAGGGTTTCTTAAACTTTTTCAGTCGCGACTCCCTTTTATCACAGATTTTTTTGCAACCCCACAGGACCCCATAATATTTACAAAAATTTTGTGCGACCCTCATAAGTATTGCGCAAGTCCGACACATACGTGAGTGAAACTAATTTTTTCACTTGTACTGTAATATACTATTGCAGTTTTAGGTCATTGATTTTTAATTTTAAGACATAGAACAATGTGAAAATTAATATATAAGTAACAGACGAAATGATGGCATCAGGTGCAAAGCAAGGAAAATAACGTTTATATTATAAAAAGAATGCATCAAAACGTTTTCATTTTTTTCTTTGTCTGTATTGTCTTATCTTTGTTTATTTTCAGATACACTGTGTAAAAATATTTGGTAATTGTAAAATTATTAGAAGTTAAAGAAATATCAAACTGCTAAAATTTTTTGCGACCCACAGTTTAAGAAACCCTGGTCTAGGTATCTTCATAGATTCCACTTTTTCTGGGTACAGTGAATGCCTTCCAGAACCTAAAATGTCGACAAGTAATTTCAGTTCCCTTTTACCAAAATTGCACTTTTCTGGTCCAGAACCTAAAATGTCGACAAGTAATTTCAGTTCCCTTTTACCAAAATTGCACTTTTCTGGATTTACAGTAAACATATCCTTCACAGAGTTGCCAAATCTCCCGATTTAGGCGGGAGACTCCCGACTTTTTCTTATTCTTAAAATTTCTCACGATTTTTATGGAACTTGGCTTAATACTTTGTTATATGAACAAAAGTGATTTTGGACGTCTGAAAGCAATTGAATTTTCTCTAGATTATATCTAAAACAAAACCTTACGAATCAGATAACTTATGCTTTGTGAGTGAGAGCATTATACGTATCCCAGAAACGTCGTTCTCCAGTTCTCCAATGGGCATCGAACTCCACTGCGTGTCAGCTGGCATATATTAGCCAATGAGGACAAGGCAAGCTGTTATTTGGATGTTCTTTAGTTATTTCGTTCAATTTGTGCTGAGTTGTGTGAGTGCACGTGCCTTCGGGAAATAGTTTTAGAAATTATCATCTTTTGTTATGTCTGCGAGAAT